GACTTAGTGAACATTTAGGAAGCAGTTCCTAAGAAGTTTTAACAATTCTAAAAAATCTCTTTAAGGTTCCTTAGTAATTATAAGAGTAGTTAATGTCCTATTCTTAGGAACTCTTAAACAACTTTCAAAAATCGCCAACAGCTTCTAAAGATCTAAACGACTCTAAGACGCTTTTAAGGGTTTTTAGAGTCTTCTAGAAGGTCGTTTTAGGAGTGTCTAACATATGGGCTTTGAAGAGCCTTTAGAGTGTTTAAAGGTCTTAAGCAGAACCAAATAGCCTTCAAGAGCCTTCGAGGTTTGGTTTTTTGAGAGCGTTGGTAAGATTTCCAGAATTTTCAAGAGAAAGAAAATAAATACGTGAGCAGGGGAGTGGCGCGAACTTTTTGGGGAGGGTGAAAATCTTGTGACGGCAATTTCCGGTAAAAGTTGAGAAAGTGTTCAATGGAAAAGTTGTAGATCGTAGAACTTTTTTTCCAGTTACTGTTTCATATAATCTCAAAATAACCGAAAAGATCCCGGAAAACCGTGTTTTTGTATTTTATTGTTCATTTCCGCAAAAATGATTTTCTTTTAATGAAACTTGGTTGAAATATACTATTTTATGATTCATGTAACTACAAATTTTTTATTTTATTTTTTAATTTTATTTTTGCTTTTATTTTTGCGTGGGCGGGGTTTCAGTCAAGCCTGCTCTACCAACCCAACCCACTATATATTTACAATTATCCATGCCCGAACCCGGATTCGAACCAGGGACCCTTAGCACTACAGTCTAGCTTTAACTGAACTGCGCCACTTCAATATTATAATATATTATTAAATATATTATATATTATTAGGTTTTCCTGCAGTTTTTCTAATTCGTAAGGTAAATACCGGAGTAGAATAGAACAACTTAAGACCTTTTGCAGAGGCACCTCTAAAAGCATTATGCGGGTCACTCTGTAATTGGACGTAAGCCTGTTGAGGACTCAGAACAAGAGAGGTACAATCAATAAATAAATAAAGAAACAAACAAACAAACAAATAAATAAATAAATAAATAAAAATGAAGAGGTTTCCGAAATATTAGTTTTTTTCGGCAAAAAACTTTTTTTAAAACAAGATTTATGGAAGAGAGTTCTATTTGGTGTCATTTTCTTCGTTTTTATCAATAGTTTTTGATGAAATTATAGTCTCTATTGAAGAAAACGCTCAAAAACCGAAAAAACTCTAAAACTGACTTCAGTAACATTGAATTTTCTGGTAAATGTTGATAATTCGTTTAAATTTTGGAAATTTTTCAAAAACTGATTTCAAAATTCGATTCTACGGGAAAAAATACAAAAGAAACTACATTTCATTGTTTAAACAGAGACTGTGTTCCTTGGTAGCAAATGAAATATTTTTTGGTGCTGAAATATACTATACTGGAATTCTTGAAAGCGTTTTGTTTACAATAGAATTAGATCCCCCTCCCATTTCCAGAGTTCGAGATCGTTAAAAACCGTTAAGAGGAGTGACAGGAGTGTGTTAGTCCCATTGGAAGTAAGGCACACGCCCGCATACATTTCGGGTAGGTACATAGGTACAAAGTTTGGGAACCTTTTCAGCGCCATCTCTCAGTTAATGTGAAACTGTTAGTAGTGGGAAATTTAAAATTCTGCAGGTAAAAATGAATCTGAAGACACTTGTAAAATGGGGTAGCCTGGTGGTCTTTCATTGGATGCTGAACTTCAATTACCTGAGGAATTCAGTGATGACGATGAGGAGCTTGAAAAACAGGATCAATTTGAGAGTGATGAAGATTCAGTTCTCCAAATGACGAAAAAGGCAAGATCAGGATGATGTTATTTTTTTACTCCATTTTGTAGATATTGTGAAAATTGGCCAGAATAAAATAATTGGAAAATAGATTGGTTTTTACGTACCTAATATTTACCAAATTGTTCATACATCTACAAACAATTATGAAACCTAAGTGAATTAATTAATTTCGTGTGAGAGCGAAGGGACTTTAGCGCATTTTTGTGTAAGAATTCGTCCGGGGCTACCATATTCCCTTTCTTGGTACCCACTTCCGACGTACCGTTCACTCGCAATTCGCGTTTGAAGTTTTGCCTCCGCCATTAGTAAAATCTTGTCGGGGGCTACCACATTCTCTTTGTCGGTACCCACTTTTGACCCTCCCACAGTCACAAAAATGCGCCAGTTTAGTGAATTTCGCTAAAATCCCTCCACAAAATAGTATTAAATTTTTGGGGCACTTCTCATAGCTGGAGCTTCTATTGGCGACTCGAGAAAGAGAAACAGCGATTCGAACTTTACGAAACCTTAAACTACGTGACAAAATTCGCAGCGGAAGGTAACCGTAACTTGTGGTCGCCCGAAGTCGACTACCCTTCGAAGGCGCGAGCTTTGTAAAAAGTGATTATTTTGTCACTTGAATAAAAAAAACAAATTCGGCCGCAAAAGTACGTGTGTATATTTACAAGATCTACTCAACGACACCAGTTTGAAAACAATCGGACCAAAACTGTAGAAGAAGATAGGAAAAAACCGAAAAATCACCACGTTAGTATAACACGCTCGGGGATGGCGCCCAGATGTCGCCTACCTCACATCATATATTTTATAAACTTATATTTTGTTCTTTTTTTTATATTATTTCATATTGTGTTCTGTAATTGGTGGCATTAAATCATTAAATCTAATTTAAATCATGTAACCCCGTCCATAAAGTTGTTAATTATACGACCGCGAGTGTACGTGCACTCCTCGTCTTTTTACAAGCGTTTTTCAACGGGCGCACAGTAGCAACCAGCCAGTCCGCCAGTCGGCTGGCCAAAATGAGATTAAAAGCTACCTTTTTATAAGTAAATTTGCAAAAATGCGAAAAAAATTGGAAAATATTATTTTTTATTTTCATATGAAGCTCTATTATGAGACCTAAATGTTTATGATAATACTATAAACAAATAAAGGTTCTCTTGTATTTTTTTCCCCTAGAAGTGAATGCTGAAAACCGTTTTGGACATATTTCTAAGATTTAAACAAATTACAAAGATTTACTAGAAAATTCAACGTTAGTAAAATCGTTTTTGCAGTTTTTTCGGTTTTTGAGCTTCTTCAATAGGGACTATAATTTTATTTATTTTATAGCATATGTTAAATTAACATTTTAATAGGTTTGAATGAGTAGGCTAAGCCGTTATTTAACCGTAAGGGTAGATAAAGTGAAACAGATAACTGTGCATTCTAATGACATGTGTCATTCTTTTTTCAAATGCAGGATATAAAATGACGTCCAGAACATATGACAATTCCGTTTCCATGGAAACGATCGCGACGCCAGAACCCAAGTTTGCTATTTTTTACGTCTCTAAATTAAATTCAGAATTGTCAGAAGCTTTCCAATGATTTTTAGGGCTTCTGCTATAAAATAAAGTTTTGTATTATACGATAAAGGGAAACTAACCTTTGAGTGAAAGTTAATTCAAATATCCCTTTATCGTCTTGTATAATAAATAACTATTATAGTATCGTTCTTTAAAGTACCTACATACAGGGTGACAATTTGAGGGGGAATCACAATGACATAGTTGGCGACGCACCCCCTCCAACCCACTACGCCCCAGCCACCCCAACTTTTAAATCTTAAATAGTGACCCCCCATGTGTGATACGTCGTTGGAAAGCTCTGAAAAAATGCTTTCCAACCAGCATTACATTTAGGTTCGTAATTATCGTGCAAATCAAAAAATAAACTAATATGCTACATTTGAAATCTGTCGTATTTAAAATGCAACCGGCAAACATAGACGAACTAAGAGAGAATAATTCAAGAATGTCGAAATATTGCAAAACCAACATTTGAAAAGGTTCGACAAGAGTTTGAGAATATATAACTGGCGATCAAAAATGAGTTGCTGTCGAGTCGAAAGCATTTTTCCAGAGCTTTCCAACGACGTATCACACATGGGGGGTCACTATGTAAGATTTAAAAGTTGGGGTGGCTAGGGCGCAGGGGGTGTGAGGGGGTGCGTCGCCAACTATATCATTGTGATTCCCCCTCCGAATTACCGAAACGGATTTTAATTTTTTTAATATCTCGTTTATTTACTAAGATATGGGGGGGGGGGGGGTAAGTTTCCAAACTGTCACCCTGTATAAAACATCTAGTTATTTTAATGGCTATAAGAAGTTCCATGAGCTTTTGAGAATCTTTAAGTTTCCATTAACTTCAAAGTGTTTCTTGTTCAGTGGTTGCCGTATCTAATGGACCTCACCTTTTATTTTTATATCAGCATATAATAACTATACAGTCTATTTCCCGCAAACCAAGTATTCAGACTCCCATTAATAATTTAAATCTGCAAATTTGCATACCTAACATAGTTTTTTATAGAAGGAAAATATTATCATGATCATTTCACTTTCGGTTGCGGATAACAACTTTCTTATTTTAAATACAACACCCTGTATTTTATTGCATTTTCGAAATCTAACTGGTTTGATACCACATTTCCCTACACCTAGCGTCATAGGTATTCAAGTTATTCAAGATTTTTCGAATGATTTAAATTTCAGTCGCCCTTCTACAGCGTGTTTTAAAATTAATGGTCAAGTGAATTGTAGTCTTGTGGTGATTCGGTTTCGGCAACCCATGCTCAAAGGTTTGACAACCTGACATATACGGATTTATTGAATGGTGTCTGGTAATTGGGTAAATAACCTTTAACGCACATTCATTAAGGAATAATTTACCCCGTTATGCATTACCCCAATATTGACTATGTAATTAGGAACGAATCGATGGACTCCCTTCCTTCCTTATAATTGCGGTAACGATGATTGAACACATTAGCGCGCAAGACGAATTACTCGAATCGTCCGGCCTGCGTGTATGTGTTAAAATCGCCTGGGAACATAAACGTTTCATGTGTACAGGTAAGACAATTAAGGCGACCGCGTGCGCAGGTTGCATATCGCAGTAAGTTTCGAGTGTTGCAGCTTAAAAGGCGCCCAGCAGTCGCCATCTGACCGTGATTCGTGAAGTGCCTAACCGTTTTATGAGTATCGACACGTGATCTAGGTGTGCTGTGAGTTGACAAAAAAATTACGAAAACAAACAAAGTCATAGCCTACACTTTCAATTCGATTAAAAAAAGGTTTGACGTAGTACTGCCTTAGAAAATTGTCACCCCGCAAGTTTCCTTTGTTTATTGACGAATAAATAATGTACGCAAATGCTCAATAACGTTATCGCTAATTTTCATAAGTCCGTTTATTAATTTGGAGGAGCGAGCCGAAGAAAATTCCTCGGTCGCACGTGAAATATGCGCGTCCTTCCCGCAGGAGCGCGCAGATTATCCCGAGGTATAGAATAAAACGCTTTATACATAAATTCGGTCGAGTTGAGCGAAAGTTACGATTTTTGACTTTTATTTTCGGAAAACGTGTTCGGGTCCTCTACGAAACAGTAGACAAAGGAGACGGAGAAGTTTTCCGCGAAACCTCTCGACCGTTTCGGAAGCTGCATAATCAGCATTGAATATCTAAATTACGTTTCGTGAGCTAAGCACGAGATCCCTCTTTAGCTGATTACCATTCCGTATCCGGGCGAGATGAAACTCTCCCTGGACCTTTCCGTACATCTGACCCAACAGCCTGCGATGGCACTATTATGTCAAAGTAGTTTTCTCGACAATTACAAACGCTTATATCAGATGCAGTGCTTTGGGGAAAACCCTTCAACTCCATTATCTGACCTACTTTTGGGGATATGCAAAGGAGCCACTTTTCGCGAATCCATTTTGTTTTGGCAAACCGACATTTGAATATTTACATACACCGTTTAGTAAAAAAAAACGGAAACGTAAACTAATTTGCATAACACCGCAAGCTAGTTCAACTTTGAGCATCTTACGAGGCGTAATTCCCCGGCTCCTTGTTTAATGTATGCGTCAAGTGTTCAACTTCCTTAACATGTATTACGAGACCGAATTCTGACACGTTACTGGGAAGTACATTACGCCGGGTTTATTATTTCGCAAACAAATAGTGTCAGAGTTTCCCTCGGTAGTTGACGCGAAAACTCGAAGGGCCTTTTCAGTTTGGAACGTTGTAATTTCCTATCGGTCGTCTTCCTTTTGATCGAAATATTTTGACTGGAATAATCTGTACGGTTGTGCGATGTCGACAACTACGAATGCCCCTGTGAACTATTGTTTGCTTTAGTTTTAACAATCATCTCTCGGAAGCTCGCATTCTGTTTCATTTCGCTTTAATTCCCTAAATCTTCAAAGATCATGTAATCTGTTTAATTCGAGATTTCTCATTTCACTGTTCAAATTCTATTTAAACTCAAACGAAATGAAGTTAAAAACTCTTGCTAACTGAAAAAGTTGGAAAAATGTAATAATTTTTTCGTTTTCAATAACGGAAGCCAGAGATGCAGTGATGGACTTTGAGTTTCGGAACGCACTATAATAAGTAACTGTTGTAATAAGTCCTTAGTACTTGAACAAAACGGTCGACTGTCTGATATAAATTTTAGTAAGAACCGTAAGGTTTTAGGCTGAAAAACATCGTGAAATCTGTCCGTTTGTCTGTATGTCTCCATATGGAACCTTTAACTGGAGAAAGAAGACATTTCTGAAACTTTTAGTGCACAGGATAGTTTAGGGACTTCTGCACTTCTATTTTTGCTAGCATGTTTATTTGGGACCTCGTGCCATAACAACCTCTTAACGGTACTGTCCCATATCTTTACGCTTTACTACCTTTTGATCCACTTCTACTTCACACGAGTAAAGTTTCTTCTTCTTCCCACCTTTTCGTTTTTTTCATTTATGTCTATTTTCTTTATCGTCCCTGACGCTTCCTTGCGTCGTATAGCCTATTTGCTTACAGGCCTCATTTCTTTAGATCTTATTCTTTTTTTCATTACCGCTTCCATCTTCTTTCCCCTGTCCCTTTTTTCACTTTCCTGGCTCTTTTCCTTCATATTCATCCACTTCTTTATTTCTTACCCCTATACTTTCCACCTCCTTCCCACCTCACGAGTACTTCGCTGCTCTATTACGCTCCACGTAATCTCCGGAGGGTATAAAACCCTCAAAAAAGGCAGATTCAACGCCTGTTTCCGAAAAAAAATATATTTAAAGTACAAAAGCATTCAACAACCCTTTCCCATAACCCTTTTCATCTGAAAATGGCAAGGGAACTCTCTGGTATTCGAAACCCCCCAGACCCCTCGCTACCTTTCTTCCAGAAAAAGTTCAACCTTCAGGAATCTCATGATAATTTTTGGAGAAAATCATCAGATCCTCTTCTCCTAAGAAGTCCTGCAGATACCGAGCGATTTGTGGGGTATGGAATAGGGAATACTTCTCAAAAAAAGGAGATTCAATAATTATTTCCAGAGAATTAAATTGACATTAAAGAAGGACTCGATAAACCTTTGTCATAACCCTCGCTCTTTCCCATGGTACCCTGCTGGTGGTTTGTGAAAATGGCAAGGTTTCTCTCTTAAATGCTGGGGAGTATTCCAGACCTCCCGGTAGCTTTCTTCCCTAAAACGTTCAGCCTTCAGGAATTTCATGATCATTTTTGCTCAGAAATCATCAGATCATCTTCTCCTAAGTAGTAGTGAAGAGAAAGTAGCACCGGAGAGTCCGGGGAGTATGGAATACCCTCCCCCAGCATTCAATGATCATTTCCAGAAAATTAATTAAAAGAAAGAAGGACTCTTGCCAATAACCCTCTTCCTTTCCCTGGGTACCCTGGTAGATTTCTGAAAATGGCAAAGGGAATTGTCATAAATGCTGAGGGGTATTCCATACCCCCCCAATCCACCGGTAGGTTTCTTTCGCAAAGCGTTCAGCCCTTGGAAATGGCATGATTATTTTTGTGTAAAAATCATCAGTCAGATCATCTTCTGCTAAGAAATACACCACATCGGGGGGTCTGGAAAGTATGGAATACCCCCCTCTCCCAGCAGAGGATGATTCAATGAACATTTCTTGAAAATGATATTGAAAGTAAAGAAGGATTCGATAACCCTTTCCCATTACCCTCAGATCCTTTTCTCCTAAGAAATCCAGAAGAGTATCTAGCACTGCGGGTCTGGGGGGGAGGGGGGTGGAATACCTCTCAGCAAAGGAAGATTTAATAACCATTTCTTGCAAATATATTGAAAGTAAAGAAGGATTAGATATAACGATTTCTCATAACCCTCACCCTTTCCCGTGGTACTCTCGTGGTGGTTTTCTGAAAATGGCAGGGGAACTGTCTTATATGCTGGGGGGGGGGGATATTCCAGACCCCCTGCTAACTTCCTCTCGTAAAATGTTCACCTTGCAGGAATCTCATCATTGTTTTTTGGGAAAAATTAACAGATCCTATTCTCCTAAGAAGTACTGCAAAGAATTTAGCACCCATAACTTCACCTATATCCCCCCCCCCCCCCCTAGAAAAAAAGAAAGAAAAGAAGAATTCGATAACCCTTTTCTGAAAATGACAACAAAACGGTCTTATACGCTGGGAGTATTAGACGTTTCAGACTTCAGGAAGCTCATGATTATTTTTGGAATTTTTTTAGAATCCATAATTTCAAACAGTTCCAAGATTGGGCTACTAGTTCAAAAGTTACAGCCCTTTGAATTTTTTTTCGAAATTGGTTTCTAGTCTATAACTTTTGATTGAGAAGTCTGATCGAAAAAGTACGAATTGTTTTGGATTCTACGCACCAAAATTAATAAGAAAAAGTGTTTTCCCGAGAAATTTTGGTGCAGTCGATTTTTGGTAAAAAAGGAAGGTTATACACTGCCTTTTTTTGAGCCCGAAAAAAAATTGTCTCAGATCGAACCGGAAAAAAATTTTTCTTATAGAATGTGGCCTGTAGAATCCATAATTTCAAACAGTTCCAAGATTGGGCTACTAGTTCAAAAGTTACAGCCCTTTGTATTTTTTTTCGAAATGGCATCTGTGTAAACCAGAATAGAAACGTCACCCATAAAGTATTGTGAAAGATTTTTGAATTCGGAAAATTGACAATCTTTGAAAAGCATTATCTCGGAATCTATTACACCTATACAATCGGATGTGGGCTTAAATTATAGCAAATTTGGTCTGCTTTGAAAACTTATTGAACCGTTATTGGCGAAAAACTGGTCCTTCAGGGTTAAAATCGTCAAAATCGGAAAAGAAAACGAAAATTCCTCGTTTTTTAGTATATTTGACTATGTTGCATTCGCCGCTCGAGGTCGAAAACTTGAATTATACATTGGGTTAACAACATAAGCAATCCCACAAAAAATCAGAACTACCGGATTTGACGCTTGGTACCCCCCATTTTTAGGAACAAAGTTACTGGACTACACGTTTAAAACGCAATTATTTTGTTCCTTCATGTCGCCACTTTAAAATCGTAATAAAAACCCACGATTTCATTAACAATAAATCTAAAAAGAGGCTTGCGCAAGGATGTTCCTAATGGAAATCGCGCAATTAAAAAAGTGGAATCGATTAGACAACCCGACGGAATATCCGGGACCGTACCTTCGTTTAAGCCGACGCGGAAAAAAATTAGAGGACGAGCATAATAAAATAGGAAACGATTTGAAACTTTTTCATTAATGCATTCGGAAAAAATCGATTCTAAAAGTTTCTTTTTATTGCCCAACTTTCGAACAAACACCGCGAAAGTTAATGAGGTTCCCTTTTTTATGTGGACGTTCCCGTGCAGCGCGGTTTATCTGGATGCCTCAGTCATAACCTTCGCTTTAAGCCAAATGCAAACTTCGGTGCGAATTTGTAAAACTTTTGGAACGGAGGGTGGAGAACTGGAAGCGGATTTTAATTGGAAACGCTGCATCTAGGGGATTATTTATTTTTTTTTCACTTCATATTGGCAACGTTGAGAACTTCTCGTTCATTCTTTTGCAATAGTTTACGGCGTTATGTAAAGTCAAGAGCCATTTCCCACTCCAACATTCGAATTCGCAACAAATCGAAGGAATTAAATGAAAATCGAAAGAAATGAAAGAATTTTCGTAATTAATTTACTTACACTGAAATTAGTTGCATTCTTCCAATGAAACAAAATAACCAACAATCCTATGCTTTGATTTAATTCTCATCAATAAATACAATACAAAATCTGTTT